AGCTATAAATACTTCCCCCCTCTTCCAACACCATAGATCAAAATCTCTTCAAACACCATAGATCAAAATCTCTTCAAACACAAAATCTTAACCGTAATTCACATTTTCAACCGTTTTTTCCGTTCCACGTTTTCTTTTCTGTTAAGTAATTTTACAATGGCATCATCAGCTACCACTATCCAAATCTTTTCCTTCCTTTTCGTCTTTGTTTTAGCCGCCGTTGCCTCCGGCCAAGATCTCAGTCCCTCGTTGGCTCCAGCACCAGGTCCCGACGCCGGAGCTGCCGGATCTGTTACAAATTCTGTGGCTATGATCGGAGCTTCAATTGTGCTGTCAATACTAGCCATCTTCAAGAACTGAGAAAAACTCTAGAGATTTTTAGTGTGTTTATTGTGTATTTAATTATTCATTGTAGATGTTACTGAAAAATAAAACAGGATATTTATTGTTGTTATTAGTATTAATACCCTACATTCTAAATACTACTATTTTCCTATTTACTTTGCATTTGGATAATTATTTTACCTATTTACTTGAATTTTTTATTAATTCTTTTCTAAATCGATTCATTAAAAAAATGGGGATTTTATAAAATTAATAAAATGTATAAACAAAGTTGTAAAAGCTTCTACAACACTAATTTATTTTGTCATAAGCTAAATAAACGGTAGCCACTGAATTTTCAATGTTTTTCATTCTCTCTTAAATTTTTGTGTGTGCATAGGACCGCCCAATAATTATTGAGGTCCAACGAAAATTTTAAAATAAAATATTATTTGTTAATAATTATATTGTTATTTAAAATTTTAATTTATAAAGAAAAATTATCTATTAAATCATTATAATCTAAATTGCTTAATATATGTTTTCAACTCATAATAAAATCAATACATTTATCATGATGTTGATGGAAATAAAATAAAATCAGTTCATTTAAGATAAATTAAAATTAGATGACTAATATGTTGTTAGTTATATGGTGGTAGTTAGTTTGTTAGAACTAATGTTATCTATAGCTTTGTAGATAAAATATTATTTTTTGTTTTTTAACTTTATTTTTGAGTTTATTTTGGTCCATTAATTTTTAAAATGTTTAAAACGAATCTTTAAGTATTAAAAATGGAGCACGTTTGTCCTTCTGTCTGTTTCCATTAGTGAGGGTTCAGAAAGACTGTCCATGTGACTTAGTTGATGACTTATGTAGTTATAACATGCCATATTGTCCACTATTGTGAAACAACCATTTTTAGAAAGTGCAGTGAAGAACAAATAGAAAGTGCAGTGAAGAATAATAGAAAGTGAAGGTGAAATCCATCGTAACAATTTGCTTATTAATCTCGATTTTGAACTAACTAGGTGAAATGGACAAGTTTCTAGTACTAAGAATTTATCATAGTGGTGAATTCATTGATGATGATTTTAGAGTGTATGAAGGAGGGAAAGTTGATGAGTTGAAAGTAGATGTTGACAAATGGAGTTACTTTGAGTTGGTAGGTGAACGATAGGAGATAAGTTATAGGGATTTTGAGAAAATTTGTTGCAATGACCAGACATTTGGGATGAATGCATTGATTGATGATGTAGGAGGATTAGAAATAACTTATATTTACAGGGTTCACCTAGGTGTAGACATTTATATTTAACACACACTTGATCAACCTGATTATTATGATGGGCCTATAGAAGCAGAAGTAGAAGGGGATGAGGCTGACCAATGAAGAAACCTATCTCCATACGATGAAGACACCTCCAAAATTTTGGAGTAGATCTTATTTTAGGGGAACTAACAAATGTGATGTTGTAGATATATTTTCTGTGAATTTGAAAGAAAGATATTCTCTTGTAGAAGGTGGGAACTAACTCGTATGCCTTGTGTTCATGCAGTGTCATGTATGAAAAGTAGGAACTTTAAGATTGAAGTTTACATCCCTGATTATTATTGGAAGTAAATGTACATAAAGGTCTATGCCCCTGTGATTTATCCTGTAAATAGATCAAATCTCTGGGTGAGAATAGAATATCCAAATGTGCAACCTTCTAAACATAGAAGGATGTCTGGAAGACTAAAGAAGATAAGAAATCTTGAGTAAAGAGAGATGGATGAGACTGACAAAAAATGACGAGAAAAGGGTTTGCAGTCAGGTGTTCTAGGAGCAAGCAACCAGGGCACAACAAATCAACTTGTAAGGTGACACCAACTACTCAAGATACTCAACAAACTGCTCAAGGTACTCAACAAACTCAAGGTTCCTAGCAAGCTACTCAAGGTTCTCAACATGCTACTCAAGATTCTCAACATGCTACTCAAGGTTCTCAATTTCCAAGAACTGGAAGAAGTCAGGCAACATCAACTGTTGAAGGCACACAAGGTTCTCAACTGTCAAGAGGTAGAGGCACACCTGCTACTCAACAATTAACACTAGGAAGGCCAAGTAAGTTGGGTGTTAGGAGGCCATCAACACCTTTTGTTCCTCCTGAACCTACTACAACATTAAGCGTTGTCGAGGATATGATTGACCCAACTGCAAGGAGGACAACTCCAACTAAGAAGACCACACCCAAGAAAATATATTAGCTGTATTTAAGATGTTGTTTAATGGTCTTAAGTGTATTTGGAACCATTTTTGATATACTGTCATTTTGTGTTATGGTTATGGATGTCATTTTGGAATGCTGTCATTTTGTGTAATGGTTATGGATATCATTTTGCAATGCATTTTGAACTAGTTTATATGTTAATGACAATTATGTGTTATGGTAAAATTATGTGTTGAGTAAGAGTTTAAAATTTATATGTTAAACAATTATGTGTTATGGTAAAATTATGTTTTTAACAAAGTTTTCACTGATACATTTCACTTTTAAATGGCACAAGATTCAATTGATACAAACCAAATTATTTCACTACAATATAATTTTTCAAGGTTCAACTGATACAGAACAAAATATTTCATTACTAAATGTCATTAATTTAGAAACGGATGCAAACCTAAATATTTCTAATAATCATGAAAAAAAAAACAGAACTACTAAAATTACAATAACTACAACAAAAATGAGTTTAAACAACAATAAAAAACCGTTGCAAAAAGTATAAAACTCATAGCCTAATACATTGTGCTACGATTGTCAAGTTGTGGAATATGCCGCCGTTGCATATTTCCATAGACTACGATTTTTGCACTTTCTCCCACAAAAAAGAAAAAATGTCGCGTAAAGTATGTGACTAGGCTACAGTTTTTGAATAAGTTTTAGACCGCAGTTTTGATTAAGCTACACGTTTAAAACCACACTGTATTCATTAGATCACGGTTTTTGAATCAATTTTAATTCACACTTTTTGTTTAGACAACACAGTATATTCTTCATAGTACAACTTTTCAAACTACAACAATATTTGTTTAGATTTTAATTACAAAATTTATCAAAAATAAATATATTAAACTAGTTTATATATATTGAATATTATAACATTACAAAGTAAACATCAAATCTATCTGTATATCATTACATCAGTTGTTGAAATAATTTTAAAAAAATCCAAGCCTTCTATGTATTCTTTTAACTTCGTTCAACATCTTGAGGATGATCTTTGTGTCCAAACTGCAAACCATATAAAGAAACAACATTATATGTAATAGTAATACCACTTGAAAAAGTTCAAGCCAAAGAGATTAATATATAAATTGGTAGATTAATTATATAATGAATTTATGTGCTAAGTTCCAAAAGAGAGTGGATTTACTACAACATTAGAAGTAAAAAAAACAAAGCAAAGCAAAGAAAAACACGACAAACACCACATCTGTATCAACTCAAACCACCAAATAACTATTAGATATCTAAGAGAATTATATATAGAAAAAGTATTGTCCATATATATAAAACATAGCTATAGGAAGTTCACATTCTATTTATACTCAGTTAAGTCCATATTGCTAATTTAATGTTAAGGGCATAGAGCACAAAATCATACAATTCAAAATCTTAATACACATATTAGTCGAATTAGTAGGCTTCTTGACTCCATTAACTTTTATCCCTAATCTAATATCTATAACTGAAAGTATTATATAATATAAAATAAAAATAGTAATTTATAAATGATTAAACTATTCTAATTAACATTATTTATATGGTAATTTATAAAAATAGCATGCTTCTTGGCACCATGTGCTTGTTTGATGATTATTTTAATATATTTCAAATAACTCACTAAGTTATAGGGTAATTCATCTAGTTTTTGTTTCTATAGGCAAAAATATGTATTATAAACATAGGGGAGAAAGGGACCCCAAATCCAAAATAATTTTTATAGTACATTATATTATAAATCTCTCTAATTCGTGACAGTAACTAATCACCTCATAAATTAAAGGAACAATTAAGGAAGCTTACATCATTTATAATAAGAGAAATTTTTTTGATTGATTCTCGACTTTCCTAGCCACCACCAAGCATTAAGTACATATTTTTGTTTCATGTCTTCAATATTACAAATCTTGTCATTGAATAAAATCTGATTTCTCTCGTACCATATGCTCCAGCATACCGTACATCAAATCCCAACCGCATTATTAATTCGACAAGTTAAGTACCGCATTATTGATTGACATCTTCGACAAGTTAAGTTGGATCCATGCTCTTAAATGATCACAACATGATGAAGCTCGTATCTCATCGACCTCGAACCAGCCACAAATTGTACGCCAAAGCAACTTTGATTTGATACAGTTCAAAAGCATGTGTTGTATATCTTCCTCACACAAAAAATAGAACACACACACCCTTTCACACGAATTTAATATGATACCCCGTTGCACCAAATTGTCACGGGTAATCTATCTATGATCACACCCTTTTGAAACGGATTTAATATGTAAGTACTTGTATCCTTGATCCTTTGATTCCCTCTTCTTCGATGATTGAAACCCTTCCTCATTATAGGACCTTGCAATAGCACATTCGAATCTTGGAATATTAACATATATCTTCCTACCCTAAATGATGATGTTATCCAGTTTCAATGCCAACAATCTAGTGTCTCCAACGTTTTTGAAACGAACAAAACCAAATATTTTGCCCCTTTTTGCCGGTATTGTAACTTCCATCACGATTCCATAAGCTTTAAAGATTTCAAACATATCTTTTGCTTCAAAGTTCTCTGGGAATTTGGTGAAGAAGAAAGATGCCACGGTATCACCGGCTTCGAAGCTCACCTTACCACCTTTCGCAGTCCATATGGATATCCTTGGTATCCTGACATGATTATTTCTCTTCTTACTTACTTCCTCCCACTCTGTTTGTTTCATGGTTCTACAACTAACACTTGCCAACTCTAATGACTAAACTTCACTCTCAGTGAAAATATCAGCTTCTATGTTGAAAACTAACCAGAAGAACAGAAAGAGAATGAATCCTAAGATTAAGACTTTAAATCAAACCCTCCAACTCTAACTCATTCTTGAAGATCTTCTTGTGCTTAACGCGATTTGTTAGCCTTGAAGGTCATCCTTTCAAATGCTTCTTAGTAAAAAAATGTAATAGTATTTTTCTAGTGAAGTTAGTTAAAACTTCCACATGTTGGTGCAAAGGTAGAATAAATGATGAAAGGTAGAAATATTCTATTAAGAATAACGGCAGAAAAACATGATTAAAAGTTACAATGATTGTCACCCTATTTATAAGCTAAAACTAGGGTTACTAGAATAAGATAAAATACTAAAATACCCTCTAACAAACTTAGGGACTAAGGAAAAATAGTACAACTAAATAAATATGAATTACTATTAATATTCTAATACCATCCCTTAATTCATATTCCATCAAAACTTGTAACACCAATTCCATCCCTTAGTCTGAGAAATTGATCGGTCTTGATAGTTTTCGTCAGAACATCTACCAACTGCTTCTGAGTGCTGCAGTGTACAACTTCTAACACTCCACTCTGAACTTGATGTCTCAGAAAATGATACTTGGTATCAATATGCTTGCTTCTCCCATGCAACACTGGGTTTCTGGCAAGTTTGATTGCAGACTTGTTGTCAATCATCAACTTCAGAGGTTTGTCTACTTTAACCTTCAGATCCTGCAACAGATTCAGAATCCACACAGCTTGGCATGCAGTAACAGCACCTGCAATGTATTCAGCTTCACAGGTTGACAACGCCACAACAGGCTGCTTCTTGGAACAGTAAGAAATGGAACCTCCCAGAAATTTGAACAAGTACCCAGATGTACTTCTTCTGTCAACTCTGTCTCCACACCAATCAGAGTTTGAATAACTCAGAAGTTCTGACTCATTATTTCCTCCAAAGGGAAATAACACTCCATACTTCAGAGTTCCTTTGATATACCTTAGAATCCTGACAGCAGCTTGGTAATGGGACCACTTAGGTTTACTCATGAACCTACTAACCATCCCAACTGAGTAGCAGATATCAGGTCTGGTATTGCACAAATACCTCAGAGAACCAACCAACTGTTTGAAGGTTGTAGCGTCCACATCCTTTCCTTCAGAGTCTGAATCCAGTTTCTGATTTGTATCAGAAGGTGTGACAGCCATCTTACAATTCTTCAGATCAAATCTCTTCAGAAGTTCTAATTCATACTTGAGCTGATGCAAAATGATACCTTTCTCAGAATTTTCTCAGAATATCTGAACTCCATCCCTAGAAAGTATGTCATTTTGCCTAGATCAGTCATTTCAAATTCATTCATCAGAACTTTCTTGAACTTGGCTATCTCCTGTTCAGAACTTCCAGTCAGCAGTATATCATCAACATATAAACATACCAGAGTCATATTGCCTTCAGAAGTATGTTGAACATAGACACCGTACTCCATCTCACATTTATGAAAGCCTTGCTTCTTGAAAAATGAATCAATCTTCTGATTCCAAGCTCTGGGCGCTTGTTTCAATCCATATAGAGCTTTGTATAATCTGTACACCATCCCTTCCTGATTCTTTTTCACAAATCCAGGAGGTTGTGACACGTAAACTTCTTCTTCTAATGGACCATTCAGAAATGCAGATTTTACATCTAAATGCATCAGAGGCCAATTCCTGTTAGCAGCTATTGCAATCACCATTCTGATTGTTTCATGTCTTGCTACAGGTGCAAACACTTCAGAATAATCTAGCCCAGGTTTTTGTAGAAATCCTCTGGCTACCAACTTTGCTTTATGTTTGCCAATTGAACCATCTGGCTTTAACTTCTGCTTGAAAACCCATCTAACGCTGATGGCTTTCTTGTCTTTTGGAAGTTCTGTCAGCTTCCAAGTCTTGTTTCTCTCTATAGCATCAAGTTCTTCTTTCATGGCCTTCAGCCAGAGCTTCTGCTTAAGAGCCTCCTCTGTACTTATAGGTTCAGAGTCTACTAACATGGCACACTGAATAACTTCTTCTACAGAGTCTACTTCAGTGTCTTGCAGCATGTCAAATTCTGCAAATCTTCTGGGAACGCTTCTGATTCTTTGTGGTCTCTAAACTTGTTCAGAGTCTTGAGCTTCAGAGTTTCCAGCTTCAGATGGTTGACTTCCTCTAGAGCTTTGACCATCTTCAAGATCTGGCATATTTTCAGAGTCTTGGCCATCTTCAGAGTCTGAATTTCCACCAGAATCTGGATTACCATCAGAGTCTGGATCATCAGAGTCACCTTCATCTTCTGAGTCTTCTCTAGAGTCAGAATCACTATCAGAGTCAGAATCAACTTCAGAGTTTACTTCAACTTCAGAAGTTCTTAACTCTGACCTTTCTTCAGAAGTTCTAACATCAGAATCAGATTGAGACTTATCCCAATTCCAAACTTCTGATTCCTTCACAATCACATCTCTGCTGAATTCAATTTTATTGGTTTCTGGACAATAGAGCTTGTATGCACCTGTGCTGTGGTACCCTATCAGAATCATCACTTTGCTTCTATCATCCAGCTTCTGTCTTCTGGCTTATGGAACATGTTTATAACAAACAGAACCAAACACCTTCAGATGACTAACACTTTGCTTGTCTCCAGTCCACTTCTGCATTGGAACTATTTCCTTCAACTTCTTCGTAGGACATCTGTTGAGTACATACGTTGCAGTGGCAACAGCTTCTCCCCAGAGCTTTTGAGGAAGCTTCTTCTCCTTTAGCATGCTTCTCACCATATCAAGCAAAGTACGGTTTCTTCTTTCAGCAAGACCATTGTGTTGAGGGGTATAAGGAGCAGTAACCTCATGCTCAATTCCATTCTCCTCACAGAACTTCTGGAACTCTTTGGAGTTATACTCACCTCCACCATCAGTTCTAAGAATCTTCAACTTCTGACCACTCTGATTCTCAGCCTTCATTCTGAACTTCTTGAATTCATCAAACACCTCATGTTTAAATTTAATAAGGGATACCCATGTCATTCTTGTGAATTCATCAACAAACAACACAAAGTACTTATTCCCTCCAATTGATGCTACTGGAAATGGACCACACACATCAGAATGTACAACTCCCAAGGCATGTTTTGCTCTTGGAGCAACTTCTGACGCAAATGGCAAACGTGGTTGTTTTCCTTCCATGCAAACTTTGCATGACTTCTCAGGCTTCTTAATTGCAGGAATTCCATGTACCAGCTTCTTTGAATTCAGATGTTTTAGGCTTCTGAAATTCAAATGACCAAATCTTCTGTGCCACAGCTCACTCTCCTTCTCAGCACATGTTGCACTAAGACATTCTGAGTCTGCAGTTCTGACATTCACCTTGAATGTTCTATTCCTTCCCTGTTCTGACTCCATAATCAACTTCTGATTGTAGTCATACAGCTTCAGAAGATTGTCCTTCATGGTAACTGAAAAACCTTTCTCAATTAATTGTCCCACACTCATCAGATTGCTTCTGATGCCAGGTACATACCACACGTTCTGAATCAATGCTGTTTTCCCATTGTTCAGAGTCACTCTGACATTTCCCATACCTTTTGCATTAAGATATTTGTCATCAGCACATCTGATCTTTGTCCTCTTTTCAGAGTCAAAGTCAACCAGCCATTTCTTGTTTCCAGTAAGATGATTTGAACAGCCAGTGTCCATATACCACTAGTCTGTCAGATCATCAGATTCAGAGGCCATCAATAGCACAGATTCGTCATCAGAACTTCTGGCTATATTTTCTTCTTCTGATTTCTTCTCCTTGTTTTACCAACAATCTCTAGCAAAGTGACCAAACTTCTTACAACAGTAACATTGGATCTTCTTCTTGTCATACTTCTCTTTTCCCTTCTGAGCATTCTTTTGTCTATCAGAGGTTGAGCTTTCTGACTTCTGACCACCATCAGATCTTCTCTTGTCTTCTGACTGCTTCTGATACCTCCTATCAGAAGTTGCTTTCAGAGCCTGCTGCTCTACTTCCCTTTCAGAAGTTCTCTCAGTCAAACGCAACTCTTGCGCTTCTAAACTGCTCTGCAGCTCTTCAATTCTCATGGTACTCAGATCTTTGGAATGTTCTATTGCTACCACAATGTAATCAAATTGAGAGGTAAGAGATCTCAATACCTTCTCCATGATTGTTTCTTCAGAAAGAGTTTCTCCACACGCCTTCATCTCATTAGTGATCAGAATCACTCTAGAGATGTATTCAGAAACTTTCTCATTATTCTTCATGTTGAGATTCTCATATTGCTTTCTCAAGGACTGAAGCTTCACCTTCTTCACTGATGCGTCACCACCATAACATCTAACTAGTGTGTCCCACGCAGCCTTTGTTGTCGTTGAATCTGCAATCTTCTCAAACACATTTACATCAACACATTGATGAATAAAGAATAATGCTTTCTGATCCTTCTTCCTTACTTCCTTCTGCGCGTTTTTCTGTTCATCTGTTGCATCTGTTGCTACCGGAACATAACCATCAGTGACAAGATCTAAAACATCTTGAGCACCAAACAGTACACGCATTTGGATCATCCAACGATTCCAGTTTTTACCGTCAAATACTGGAAGCTTGGTGTTCATGTTGCCGTTTCCGTTCATCTTCACCTTGCACAATACACTCAGATTTCTCACACAGTGTTTCCCAACCCAAAGAATAAAATTCTGATCAGATTTCTCACACAAGACCTCACGTTCACTCGTGTTTCCCGTGTTTCCCAATGAATCTGAACCGGAGCTCTAGATACCAATTGTTGGTGCAAAGGTAGAATAAATGATGAAAGGTAGAAATATTCTATTAAGAATAACGGCAGAAAAACATGATTAAAAGTTACAATGATTGTCACCCTATTTATAAGCTAAAACTAGGGTTACTAGAATAAGATAAAATACTAAAATACCCTCTAACAAA